CAAAGCTTAGAAGACAAAGATGAGAGGCAATGACTACTATATTTCATAAAGGACACTGTAATCATAAATCCTGGTGTCACACTGAAGCYGCTGAAGCCGGAGCATGATGGCAGAAGAGCCCCATACTTGGATGAGCTCTAAACACAGGMTGTGGATGGAGAGCTATAAAATAGATCAACAATTTGTGTCTTGCTGTCACTACAGGAAGTAAGTATGCTCTCCATTCAGGTCTAAAGGGAAATCACACACTCAGACCAGCCCAGCTTCCAGGGAGCAGGCAATGCCATGGTGAAGTCACTGTTAGAGAAGATTCCTATGGGGGACAGGGTCACATTATGAAAGTGGGCCYGGGGAAGGGTGAGGTGGGCAGCATCCTGGGGCTCCAAACTAAAAAGACTCACAATCTCAAGCCAGCTCATTAACTGGCAGACATCATAAATAGCAACCCTGTGTTGATGGAAACGCACGTCTCATTCATCCTTCRATTTGCAAGAACAAAAAGGTTAAAAACAAGCCTTTKGGGGAGTAAAGGACTGTGCATTCCCTGTGACCCTGGGATTCTGCAACTAGGCATGTTCACAGTCCTAGGGGGGATCCTTCCTCCCTGTACTTGCAAGGAAATGCTGGTTCACCCTAGTTCAGTGACAGAGGAGAGAGTTGTCATTGCCTAGAAGATCAGCAGGYTCAGCAGTGAGTCCTCTGGGAAGCAGATCCAAAGTGGCCCTGGCTCACAACCTTGGGCAAGTTCATCTGCCCAAGTCTTGGTTTCTTCGCCTCCACAACCGTAATCATCAGCACAACAGGAATAAAGTAACAGCACCCACCAAAGAGGGCCCTTAAGAAGATGAACAAGACAGTCTATGCTCAGCACAGCGCTTGACACCAACCAACACTATATAGTTAAAAGCCAAATAAAAATCTTCAGTAAGCTAGGCCTGGGCACCTCCAACTCCCCGACATTTATTAGTTTACAAATTGGTCTCCCTGCTCAATTCCTTGAGGAGAGCAATGTCATCCTTTTCCCCTTTCTGGGCCCACAACCAACCCTGCTCTGCATGCACTGGACATGTTCATGAAGGACTGTGAAGACACAGCAAAGCGGACTTCGTTAACCTAGGAGATGGCCTCTCAGGTAAGTCATAGGAATCAGGCAGCCACAGCTGTCYGGTTTTCAGGAAGCTGCTGAGGGGTGAATCTGACCACAGAAGTTCATAAACTCCCTCCAGCAGGCAGCAGGGTGGGCACCCTCCTTTCCACTCCCCATGTTCATTTTTTGCTTCCTCTGCAAACCAACGGAACGAGGACAGGAAATAACCTGTACTTTTCTCTTCCAGACCTAATAAGCTTGAATTTTAAACTACCAACCTTACACTTTCTCATTTGCTTCTATCTTCATCTGTAATTTGGGCCTCGACCCTGGTTTTAATTAGATGCCCCGGCAAGCTGAGCAAAATCACATGCACTTAGGGAGGGTCATCAAGAGCTATAGGAGACACCAACAGCCACAGGCAAGGCTGTGACTCCAGCTCTGATGTGACCGTACTTTGAACACCAAGGAAGAAGTTTATTATGGACTATACTATGGAACCCTGCAAACTCATATGTTGACGTCCCAACCCCCACCTGGTACCTCAGAATGTGCCTGGAAACAGTGTCCTTAAGGAGGTAATGGACTAAGCCATAGTCTAATAGGACTGCTGTCCTCATAGGAAGAGGCAGTCATGACATGGAGAGTCAGAAGACAGCCATCTACAAGGAGACACCTAGGAAAAAACCAACCCTGCCCACACTGTGATCTCAATTTTCAAAATGCAGGTATTGTAAGAAAATAAATTTCAGCCAGGTGTGGTGGTGCCTGCCTGTAATCCCAGTGGCTCAGGAGGCTGAGGCAAGAGGATTACAAGTTTAAAGCCAGTCTCAGCAAATTATGAGGCCCTAARCAATTTAGTGAGAACCTGTCTCTAAATAAAATATTTTAAAAGGGCTGGGGATGTGGCTCAATAGTTAAATGCCCCTGGGTTCAATCCCTAGTACCAAAATAAAAAAAAATAGAAATTAGCAGGTTGTGGTGGTGCACACCTGTAATCCCAGAGGCTCAGGAGGTTAAGACCAGAGGATCCCGAGTTTGAATCCAGCCTCAGCAACAGTGAATCACTAAGCAACTCAGTGAGACTCTGTCTCTAAATAAAATACAAGATAGGGCTGGGGATGTCTCTCAGTAGCTGAGTGTACCCCAAAATTTAAAATTAATTAGTTAATTCATTAATTTTAGTCTGTGGCACTTTGTTATGGCAGCCAGAGAAAACTAATACAAAACCCATTTTCAGAGTCAAGAAAACCAATATTAACCAAGTCACTGGTAGTAGAACACAACGGGAAAATGGAAAGTAGCTTTCCCACGTCTAGGTCCGGAGTGCTACTCAGTCAGACAGAACCTGCAGAATCAACCAAATGTACTTTTCACCCCAAGGTCTTACCACATTTTCTGGCAGCTTGTGTCCAGGGAGATATTTGACATTTTCATGGTCATTATTTATGATGTCTGTCAGTTTTCTCCCATTCACYGTTTCYTCAAAGACCCACATCTTGACTGTGGAGGCAAACTTCTGTAGTTTCTTGACATTATTACCAATTATTTTTGCAACAGCTGAACCCCTACAAAAGAAACGGTGGAGAAATAAAATAAATTCATTGGACAGAAGACACAAAGCACTCAATCAAAATTCAGAAGACCTGTGTTTTGATTCTGACTCAAGCCCTGAGCTTGTTTGTGCAAGACCGGATGTGTATTGGCCACAAGCCACTTGGAACTTAGCTATTCTCACCTGGAAAGATCACCATGGGGATCATCAGGAGAGCCCCAGAATCTGGTACAAGGTCAAAAAGTACCACCCCTTGAAACCAGTAAGAACCAAACTATCTTGGATCAGTGTCACAAGCGGAAGAGAAATACACCCATAAGTATGAACTTGACACTGCAGGGTTTGTGGAGGAGCCTCCAAGGAAAACAAGGCTATATTTCAAACTCATCAAAGAGATTAAAATGTGGCCACTGTGAAATAAACTGTGTTCTCACGAACTGCAACAGGCCCAAGGTAGAACCATAATGGCATGACAAGAACCTGAGTGGATTCCAGAAAAGGATCAAAGTAAGAATGCAGGGCCCTGATTCCCAAGTAGTATGACCCCTCCACCTCGCCTCTCACCCCCCCCACCCCTCCCCAGGCATCCAGGCAGCCTTCAGCACCCAAGCTCCTTTCTTTCTGCATCTCTCTTCAGCTCTAATGATGGACAGCCTCTGCACAGGACATAGGGAAGTGAAGGAACCTATCTAGTCAACACCAGTTCTTAAGACAGCTGTGGCTGCAGGCAGAGGGGGCCAGGCAGGCAGGCACCTGTGCCCCACAGCTGGTAGAATCCTATGACCGGGTGGATGGGCGCCTGATTCCAGCTGAACCGATCAACTTCCACCTGAACCGATCAACTTCCACCTGTAGCTTAAGAAAGGGATTGTTTCTTGGGCAGCCTTCCCAGTGTGAAGAGTAAATGGAAGAAGGTTGTAAAGAGCAACTGGCAAATTTAAGTGTTAGGGCATTTATTATTTTTTCTAACAATTATTCTGGAATTAGGAGTGATAATAATGGGGGGGTTGGCAAGCTTAGCTGATGTGGAAGAATATACTGGAGACGTTTATCCTTACTACCCCCCATAAGTCTATTATTCTAACTCAGCCCTCATTCATCTTAGGAGAGAGAGAGAGAGAGAGAGAGAGAATGTGGGGGGTTGGACATGGGGGTCTGGGGATTGTTGGATCCAGGGGGCACTGTGCAACTGGGCCACATCTTCAGCTCTTTGTATTTTTTGTTTGACACAGAGTCTAGTAAGTTGCCCAGGCTGTCCTTGAACTTGAGACCCGCCTGCCTCAGCCTTCCAAGCCATGGAAATTCCAGGTATGTGCCACCACCCCCTGGCATCCCAGCATTTTGATCTCTGTGCTTTAAGAAACACAAAMATTCTAGTAATTCTAACACAGATTATAATTATTTTCCCTTTCCTGAGACAGCATACATGAACTAAACCACAGGGCCTCGACTTTGGCTACCCACTAGAATTACCCAGGAGACTTAAAAATCCTGGGTCCCAGGCCACACCCCAGAGCAGTGAAACTGGCACCTCCAGGATGTGGTTTCTCAAGCTCCCTGGTGACTCAACGTACAGCCAGGGCTGAGAGGTGCTGTCCTGCACAATGATTTAGAACTCCRATGCCCTCCTCCTTCTCAAAAGGATGGCTGTAAATGTCAAGGCTAGGCAGCGGTACCTTATTCTATGCCGGCAGGATGGCTCATTAGATAAATACCTGTTAATTCAATTCTCCTCCTGACACTTTGCAGAAAGGAGCCAGRAATCTCTCCACCAGCCCTGTAGCCTCCATGCTAATCTTGGAAACTGCTGCTTACTATTCAGGGAGACAACAGCTCAGTGCATAGTGTTCCCTGGCGTCAAGGAACTTCCATAAGGTCAAAGAGAACACGTGGGACTGTGGGAACCTGGTGCGCTGCGCGGGTTACCTCTTCTGACCGATGGGAAGGAAAGGTGTCACTTTCCTTATGGGTCAGATAGAGCCATGGGAGTGTTTGGGAGGAAACTGAGTCTATTTCTATGTAATATACACTCTTCTAAAAGTATTTTACTGGGGCTGGAGCTCAGTGGTACAGAACTTGCCTACAGTATGTAAGGCTCTGGGTTCAACGGCCAGGACCACATTTAAAAAAAAAAAAAAAAAATCAAAGCTCAGTCCACAAAGGTGGCTTGTGAGTGAATTGTGTGGGGGGGCCCGCCATGAGCAGGAGCTGAGCACGTACCCTGAGCCTTGACTGATGGAGATGTGGAACTGGCTTCCATGGTGCAAAAGCAAGCTCAGCAAGGAATTAGAGCTCTGGGAGTGGGTGTCACCCAATGGGACTGGACTACACCCCCTGAAGCCCAATCTCTGGCCTCATTTGGGTGGAACTTTCTTGAGTATTTTCCCCCCAATAAATAGAGTTTCAGGCGTTCCCCCTCCCCCCTCCTTCCCCCCCCCTCCTCCTCCTCCTTCTTCTTCTCTTTCTCTCTCTCTCTCTCTCTCTCTCTCTCTCTCTCTCTCTCTCTCTGCAAATAGCCATGGCTGGGGTTCTGCAGTCAGGCATGATGGATCCATCCCTGGGTCATGGGTGTGAGCAGCCAATTATACACCTGGCCCAGCTCATTCAAAGCACCAAATGAGGAGGGAAATGGATGGCATTAGAGCAGATTATGCTAAGTGAAGCTAGTCAATATTTAAAAAACAAATACCAAATGACTCCTTTGATATAAGGGGAGTWAACAAGGACAGGGTAGGGACGAAGAGCTTGAGAAGAAGATTTACATTAAACAGGGATGAGAGGTGGGAGGGAAAGGGAGTGAGAAGGGAAATTGCATGGAAATGGAAGGCGATCCTCAGGGTTATACAAAATATCATATAAGAGGAAAGGAGGGGTAAGACAAGTTAATACAAATGGAAGAAATGATTTACAGTAGAAGGGGTAGAGAGAGAAAAGGGGAGGGGAGGGGGGATAGTAGAGAATAGGACAGACAGCAGAATACATCAGAATCTAGAAAGGCAATATGTCAATCAATGGAAGGGAAACTGATGTGATACAGCAATCTGTATAAGGGGTAAAAGCGGGAGTTCATAATCCACTTGAATCAAACCGTGTAATATGATGTATTAAGAACTATGTAATGTTATGAACGACCAATAAAAAAAAAAAAAAAAAAAAAAAAAACAAAGCACCAAATGACAGGCAGAGCGGGGACGGTCCCCCTCCAGGTCTTTGATTGAATCCAGTGTTTTCCAAAGTGAGAAATGGGAATCATAGCCCCACAGGCTGAATGCTACCCAGATGACACTCACTCACTTGCCTGTATCAAGGCTCACGGTCCTCCTGGGAGTGCACAGCCTGTCTCAATCTGAGTGCTAGAGATGTGCTACCACCTCTCTGGCATGAACCCACCTCTTCCCAACCTCCTTTCTTCACAAAGCCTGAAGAGGTCTGGAACTGAGCCTTGGCAGGTGGTACTATCTGGCACGATACTAGTAACACGTTTGTTTTCATGCTACCAGGGTTTTTTGCTTGCTGTTACCTTCTACTTGCAGTATTTACTACAGTGCCCTAAAGTATTCTTTTAAAGTAAACTTGCAAGAAAGTATATATTAAGCAAATAACGTTATGGAAGTTTATTCCAACTRAACCCACTTACCCTGATCTTGCCTCATATCACATAAGCAGGTGTTGCCCCCAGATGGGCCTTACCTGGGGAAAGGGTGGAAAAGCCTTGTAGGAAGGCCTCTGGAGCAAAGATTGGTAGCCAGGGAGTAGCAGAACTACAAGAGACTCAAGTCTGGGGCTGGGGTTGTGGCTCAGTGGTAGAACACTTGCCTAGTATGTGTGAGGCACAGGGTTCAATTCTCAACACCGTATACAGACAAAGGTCCATTAATAACTAATAAAAATATTTAAAAAAAGAGAATCAAGTCTGCTGATGGCCAGTCCTGGGTCTTTACACAGAGCCATGAAACCACATTACGTATGACAGCATGAGTTACCTCAAACCCCAACGTATACCCTAATTCATAACTTCTATAATGCTATGCAAATGAAGCTTAAAAGCATCYTGCAAAAGTGTGTATTTGATATAAGATCTTATGTCAGCTGGGCATGATAGTGCATGCCTGTCATCCCAGCAATTCAGAAGTCTGAGGCAGAAGGATCACAAGATCAAGGCCAGCTTGGAAAAATTTAGTGAGACCCTGTCTCCATAATTTAAAAAAAAAAAAAAATGGCTGTAGATATAGCTCAGTGGCAGAGGATCCCTGGGTTCAATCCCTAGTGTTGCAAATTTAAAAAAAAAAAATAGTTCTTCTTTATCACAATCCACAAGGGAAATGAACATCTTGCCTATTTTRCAGATGAAGAAACTGAGGCTCAGAGAGCAATAATAAGTTACCCAAAGTCATGCTGTCTCCCTACAGACTCTGGACTCTGTTTCCAAAGTCCACACTTCCTAATTCATATTTGCCCTGATGTAGAGTCATTTATTGATGCAGTCTGGATACCCTGAAGGGGCAGGAATTCAAGGGAAGAAAAGCAGACAAGTCTCCGCCCTCAGGGAGCTTGGAGACTGATAAATGGAGATTGATGATATTCCAGCACAGTGACCAATGTGGCCAATAAGCGGGTGACATGGTGACACTTGTCAGGCCATTCAGAGGAAGCTGGGAGAGAGCGCAGCTAGGGCTGAACTCTGAAGGTGGGCCTCACTTGGGGAGGCCAGAGCAAAGGTCGMAGCAGGAGAAGGCTAGGGCTTATCTTCTGCTGGGACAAACAACAGCAGTTACTTTCACCTAGAGCCAACTCCTCCAGGGTGGAGGGGAAGGGAGGAGGGACAGAAAGGAACGAATAGAAGGAGGAACCATCAGAAGGAGAAAGGGAAGGTTAAGGACCCTAGGAGAGGGAGGAGGAGTCAGAAGCAGAGGGGGACAGGGAAGGACAGGCAGGAGGAAGGAAACAGAGAGGGGAAGAGCAGGTGGGATTGCAAGAGGAGGGAGAGGGAGGTGAAGGAAAGGGCAAGGAGCT